GAACCCCTTTGGCATATTTGAAATCGTTCCTTATCATGGTTTTTTTTTTCATAAAAAATGGTAAACTACGATGACTTTCTTATACTTTGCCCTTTTATAAAAATAATAAAACATCCATCTAACCCTTTGTAACTGGGAAGGGACCAAAAAGAAAACCAGCTATTCTAACATTTTGAAAAAATCATTGAAACAAAAATGGCCTTTATTATATGTAAAATAAATATTAAGTACCATTGCTTTTTTGCAAAACTTGGAGAAACTATGATGGCTTTCTTTTCATTTTCCCATAAAAAAACAATTTTGTAAATTTTAGTGGAAGTACCAAGTCAAGCCCCAAAATTTCGTGACATCATATAAGAGACAACCGGTGGCCAAACCAAAATTAAATTGATTGAAGATGTCTCTAGAATAGATCCAAGATACATCTACCTAATTTGACCAGATTAAGCATGATAAATGCCATCTACCGAGTCTCTCTCACTCAAAGGAAAGGTTACAAAAACAGATGACACATTTGACATCAAAACGTAAATAAATAAATAATGCAAACTTGATTGATTATGTGACAAAATTGATAAAGCCAATGCTTCACAGTGTCATGTCTGAAACTACATTACACAATACATAAACTCTATAACGGATAAAACAAAATTATTCTCTTGAAAAATGGAACTCTGGGTATATATAAGCCAACACCAAACTATATTATATTACACTCGTAATGTATCTCTATATTGTTTTTTTGCCGGTGATAAGTAAAATGTGGTTAAAAAACCAAACAAACAAACTGCAAGAATTAATTAATTAATTATAGACTCAACTTGTGTGAAGAAGAGGTGAGAGCATTCATATGTTGAAGATGTAAAGCAGCCAAAAGTCCTTGCCATGTTTCTCCAGGTGCACCAGCTACATTGAAGTTTAAAAGCTTCTTTTGTTTCTTGTAGTATTCTTCCAAATCCAATGGCTTCTTCTGCAAATAAGATCATCAACATCAGCCAACATATAAAAAAAAAAAAAAAAGACTACAAGTTTCAAGATGATATGATTCTTCATTGAGAGTTTACATAGATTGGTAAGAGTACCATTGAATTGCGCCCATTGACACTGAGAATATCTTGGTAAGAAGAAGCACATGCTTCATGTCCAACATCACCATGCTTCTTTTGCAGACAATCTTCTGTGCATTTGAAATTTAAGACCAAATCTATATCCGCAACTTCGTCAAGAATCTCCTGTTAACATAACAGGTATAAAATTTTCAGCATTAATACCAACACACAGATTAGCAAAATCCAAGCTTACAGCTTGCATTCTTGTTCGAGGAATTCCATCCAAAATGAACCCAGTTTCACCCTTGTAGAAACCTTCTTCCAACCTCTTTGATAGCAGACCAAAAATCACTTCCTCTGGCACAAGCTTGCCCTGATTCACAGCATCAGCAATCTAAATTTACAAAAACAGAGACAAGTAAACCAAACTGTCCAAGAAAAAAAGGTGATGACTAAATGGATTTCATGAAAACTACCAGTAAAATTGAATCGAAGCGAAACAATTTTTCAATCAATTTCCATAATTTGATCAAGCATAAATTACTAACGAAGAACAGATCTAGACAATCAAACAGGAGCTAATGTTCGATATGATTTTTCGAAACGCCTAAAGGTAATTAAGCAAACCTGTTTATAAAGAGAAGAGCGAGGGTGGAGCTCTTGACGAACGAGGGTTCCCATGGAAATATGAGGTACTTTGAGGAGTTGTGATAACTTCTCCGCGTACATTTGCCTATTCGTCGATGGATCGCCCATTACAACCCACTGAACGCCCCTACCCGACACCGATCCCAGGGAGTCCTCCATCTCCGAGGGGCTCTCGTTGTAATCATAATCGTCATCGTAATCGTACTGGAGCTGAGCCGCCGATCCATAGAAACGGCGTTTGATCTGACCTAAGCGGAGTCGCGCAAGAGGAGCAACAGCCACTCTCAGGCGACATACCATGGCCATGGCGGCTGATGAGGGTTTTACCAACGGACGGAAAATTCAGGGTTTTGAAGTGAAGGAAATAGGGCAACTGAAATGGGAAGACTAAAAAGCAAAAGGCAGGGAGATCACAGGACAAGCTTAGTTTTAACTACACCCCTTAAGTTCTACGTAATTGTTAAATACCGCCATGTTTTCATGTTTAATATCTTTCTAAAGAGAAATACACTCAAATCGTGAAAAAAAAAAAAATTGAGTTTGTCTAGTATTTCAAAAAAATAAGATATAATACAAGGGTTAATATGGGTTTTATTACTTGATCTAGTCATTTTACTTGGTCGTGGAAAAAAATAAAAATTACATTCTTGATATGAGCACAAAACGTCATTAGAAAAAAAAAAAATGGTATTGTTTCCAAAAACCTAACTTAAAATGACTAATGTCTAAAGTTTGAAGCCCTTATTTTTAAGTTTTTGTAACCCATAAATTCTTAGATAAAGAACTCTAGCAATGCATAAATGCATTGACTATATGTAAAAATATACCCAAATTGACTTATAAGCTACAAGTAGTGGGCTTTTGTAATGAGAAAATATGTTTGCTTGGGTTAATTCTAAAATAAGAACAAAAGGATGATGAGATACATTTACAGATAGAATGTCAGCAATTGGAGTTTGAGAAACAACTTTTCATATGAGTAAACTTTATAAAAGGAAAATTTGTAAACAGTTTAGAGAGTGAAGTGTAGTTTAAGAAAAGAGGAAGGTAGATGTGAAAATACCAAAACAAAAGGGAACAATAATGAAACAAGCTAAGACAAAGTCAATTGGCCTGCTTTTTGATAGAAATGACACGTGGAAGTTGACGAGTGGTAGTCTTGTAATTAGCGGAATCCACACGCACAGGAAGTTGTGGTTCACACGAGCGACATCTGGATACCAATCAACGCGGACAACTAGACAACTAGATATTTGAGTCTAACATGTAAGCATCCCTCATACTTTTATTTCTATTTCGACGAAGAGGGTAATTTAATTTAAAAATAAAATTTTGATTTTTTTATTTTTAAATAAAAAAATGGTTGATAATATAAAAAAGATTTTTAAAATAACTTCTTATTAGCCTTTCATCCGAATAATTTATGATTCTCAACTTTTAAAACCTTTTTATAATTTTTTTCCAAGACAATATATATATATATATATATATATATATATATATATATATATATATATATATATATATATATATATATATATATTAAAAAATAATTTATTGACTTGTTGATTTTTTTTCACCATAAAAACTAATCCAAACATTTATATAAAAAACTCATATTCTTATCACCATAAGTTAATAAGTTATTTTACTTAAAAGTTGTTTTGAAGTTTAAAATGAAATTTCAAATACCTTCGAAAAAAACAATGACTTATTTGTATATATTTATATATTTAAGTTTTTCCTTGTATGTTTTTCTAGTAACATATTTTTGAAATCCAAATTCGACCATGAGATTGTCTTAATTTTGATGATAAAAAAGTTAATATATATCAATGGAAGGCAAACGGGCAACAAACTGCGTCACTAGTCATTTCTGGATGGCAAAGTTAATTCTTTTGAAAATATATGTCGATCTAAGAGATATCTGTTGTACTCTATTGAGGACCTCCATCGTCTCTGGTGAGAGAAAACCAAAGGTATTAAATGCGAAACGTATAAACACATGTTGATTTTCAGTGCATGTATTCTCGTGCTTTGCCACTTTGCACATGACGACTTCAAAGTGGCATGCCTCGCTGTGAAACCCCCCTCCTTAAACCGATGAGAGGGGATACCCTAGTAAGATCCACACAAGCGTGCTTCCCTCCTACCCATCCAAAGACCAAAATATAAATCGGTCTGTGTATGGATCTTCTATCCAGTGGGTCCGTCAAAAAGTTCATAGGCGTTTCTTTCTTCACGAAAATACTAGCACGCTGAAAAGCATCAAAGAGAACATCCCTAACAACATCATGTTGGTACTTGAAACCAAGGAGCTCTCTATAATGAAGTGCATGTTCCCTAAAGGTGTCCAAACATGCCTTGCAGCAATTTGGGCAAATCTCGTCAATCGGGAATAGAAGAATCATGAGGCGATAACAAATGATAGTTCGGTATTCCACCTAAGGCATATGCTAGCTGATGCCATCAATAATGATAGTTAGCAGAAAATTCGAAGCATGAGGTGCCCACAGACACTCAAAAACTACTTGTTGTCTAACAGTCATGTCCAAGTCGACTTCCATATCTTTGACGATTTTGCTAAAAAGGGCACACGCCAATGCCTTTTGGGATTTAGGGGGTGTCCTTAATAGTGAAACCGCTACAGTCGAATCCCGTAATCATATCATGAAGACAAGTCAAAGCACAAAGGTAATTAGAGTCCATACTGATAGAATATATTGGAATATTTAGAATATATGTAAATATGTACTAGATTGGTTTGTATTTTGAAAGTTATCTTCTTTCCTATTAGTTTAGGATTTCCTGTAACAAACTATTGTATATATTCTGGTAATTGTATAGAACAAGCGACAAGGGGGATTAACCTTACTTTTATGGTATCAGAGCTACGGGTGGCAGATTCAATCCCTCACCACTTTCTGTCAAGCATCATCTTCTTTTCATGATGACTGGCTCTATTGCATCTTCTTCTAATCCTTTTGTTATGTCTTCTTTCCATTCGACCCTAGCCATCTCCAACATCAAGACTCATATCTCCATTGTTCTTGAGATGGAAAAATGCAACATGGGCAAAATTGTTCAAGATTCACTGTCGATCTCACCGGGTAATTGATCATATTATTACTCCAAATAATGCAAAGGTCCTAACAACTCCTGAAGAAAAAGAATCGTGGTCCACTTTAGATGCAACTGTCCTACAATGGATCTACGCCACTATTTCTAGCGATCTGTTGCACACCATCATTGAACCTGACTTGACTGCTATGAAATCTTGGGATCGACTACGTGATACCTTTCAAGATAATGAACACTCGCGAGCTGTCACTCTTGAGCAGGAGTTTTCGCACACCACTATGGCTAGTTTTCCTAATGCCTCTACATATTGCCAACGTTTGAAAATTCTATCTAGTCAACTCAAGAATGTGGGTGCACCAGTCTCTGAGAATAGACTTGTTCTTCAGATGGTGTTTGACCTAACTAATGAATACAATGGTATTGGTACCCTTATTTGTCAAAGTAAACCTATCCATCCTTTTTATCAGGCTCGTTCCATGCTAATTCTCGAAGAAGCTGGTCTCAATAAGAAACTGGTTGTCACTGGAGCTGATAAGGTCACCAACACCACTAATGATCCTCCTCATAGTGGCATTAATTCTGAACAATACACCACCAGTCCTAAGAAAAACCATTGACGGATAAACTTGATTGGACGTATGTGAGGTAAACAGAGTGGTGGACAAGGCAATGATCGTGGTGGTAGGTCCGGGAATAACTGTCGCTGTCATAACCATGGTGGACAACAAACACCTTCGTTAGCATGGTCACCTAGACACCAGCAATAGACGGGTCAACATTCTCAGACAGGTCAAGGATACCCATGGCCCTACATTTCATGGGTTGTCCCTCTATCTCCATAAACAACTTTGCCTTACGCAAGGCCTAATGGACCACACGTGCATCAACAATCACAAGGCCTTCTTGGCTCACGTCCTTCTCAAGTATTTTCTGATATGTCTACTCTCATGCCAACTGATATTGAAGTTGTTATGCAAACTCTTAGCCTTAACTCCCTGATGGAAACTGGTATATGGATACAGAGGCTACCTCCCACATGACCTCAACATCAGGTACTTTATTGCCTTATTATAATTCTCACAACCATCATAATATCATCGTTGGTAATGGGCAAACAATTCCAATTCGTGGACTTGGCCATACTCGGTTATCTTATTCTCTTCCTCCCTTATCTTTGAACAATGTTCTGCATGCTCCTAGGCTTCTTAAAAACCGGGTGTCTATTAGAAAATTTACTTCTGATAACTCTGTAAATATGGAATTTGATCCTTTTAGGTTTTTTTGTGAAGGATCTCAAGAAGGGGGTGCATCTCATGAGATGTGATAGTCGGGGCACTCTTTATCCCATAACATCCACCAAGTCTCCAGTTAATTCGTTTTCCACGTTTACTGCAATTTCTCCTTCTTTATGGCACAACCGTTTAGGTCATCCGGGAGCACCTATGTTTGATTCCCTTAGGCATAATAAGTTTATTTCGTGTAATAGACTTTCTAATTCATATTTTTGTCATTCTTGCCCTCTTGGGAAACATATTCGTTTGCCTTTTGTTGCTTCTACTTCAAATACATTAATGCCTTTTGATATTATTCATTGTGATCTTTGGACATCACCACTAGCAAGTTCATTGGGACAGAAATATTATTTACTTGTGTTGGATGATTTTACTAATTTCTTGTGGACATTCCCGTTAACTTATAAATCTCAGGTCTACTCTGTATTTCTTCAGTTTAGAGCACTGATACAGACTCATTTTCAAAGAGACATTAAAAATATTCAATGTGAAAATGGTGGGGAATTTGATAATGGTCGATTTCGGGATTTCTGTCATCAAATGGGGATATCTTTATGATTCTCATGTCGTCATACTTCCTCTCAGAATGGTAAGGTGGAGCGTAAGATATAGTCCATCAATAATATGGTTCACACCTTACTTACTCCTGCCTCTTTACCACCATCGTGTTGGCATCATGCCCTCGATATGACCACATACCTTCTCAAAATTCTCCCATCAAAACTACTCAAATATCAGTCACCTCGTAAGATCTTATACCAATGTGATCCATCATTCTCTCACATTCGATTTTTTGGGTGTTTGTGCTTTCCTTTATTTCTGTCTTCTACTATCAATAAGCTTCAAGCCCGATCAACTCCATGTGTTTTCTTTGGATTCCCATCTAATCATCGTGGGTATAAGTGTCTCGATCTATCCATAAAGAAAATTATCATCAGTCGTCATGTGATTTTTGACGAACATATATTCCTGTATTCTCGGGTCCCCCACCCTCTGCATATCCGTATGTTTTCTGGGATGATGGTCTCTCACCATATATTCTCCATTACTTACGCAACACATCTACAACCAACG